TCTGGAATAAAATGATGATAGCTCTTTTTAATTTATGCTATTCCGGTCGGATTATAGAATGCAAAATATACTTTCCCTATGCCGCTAAATCGGATATGTCTAGTATAAATAGTTTCATAATCGAACTTGTAACATTGAAGCAAAAATGAAACATTTTTATTATTTTAAACAAATGTTTTAAATACCTGTAAATGATTTTAAAGGATTTTTATTTCGATTAACCGCATTGTGCCGTATAAATATAAAAGTACCTTTCCATTTAAAATGTCATACCACAATTTTTAACGTTTCGAATCAAATTATATTCAATTAGTAATCTTTGTGGTACTTTTGATAAAGAGAAAGTCTGATAGTGCTCATTAACCCAAATTCTCATAAATCTGAACTTATTATTATAATTTAAGAAGAATTACGAAAATACAATACGCAACGTACATTTGATATTTATTTCATAATTATCTATGAAATACATATCTTTCTCTTATTCAAAGTACAATTAGTATAGAAAATCGCACGATCTCGAGTACAATTTGGAAATTTATAGACACGAGTAATGTTCTGAAAGTTCTTTAGCCGAGTGCAATTAAAAAACTTTCATAACATTACGAGTGTATAKAAGTTATAAATTTTATGCAAAGATCGTGTGATTTTTTTGTGWWTTCAGTGTAAAAACTGCGGAGCGACGCCGTTCATCTTTCTCTATTTGGCGGCCGATATGTATTCTATGTCGCAACTTGAATGCATTAAAAAGATTAGTTTTTACGGCTTTAAAATTTGCTTTATGCTTTTTAAGTACAAATTTAAACAAATTAATGTTTTGACATTGTTTTACCCGGGTTGMATAGCGACTTATTTCGTTACTCTTGCTAGTACAATTAACGCATTATTTGTACTCCTCTTGACCAATCAAAGTTGAATAATTCTTCTGAGTGAACAAACAAACAAACAAATAAAAATATAATATAACAGAATATTATGTGATCAAGATAATCTTTTTTTAAATAAAAGTAAAACAACTTTCAATTTCTTATTTTAATAAATTTTTTACAAAATATTTAAACTATATGTAAGTATTTTAATGTGTTTTACAAATTTCACTTTCTCTTAAAACTTTTAAAAAAATTATAATTTTGTTTATTTAMATTCTTAATTTAAGGTCCACTTGTTATATCTTTTTATAATCGTAATTGGATGTCGAGTTGATAAATTTAAAAATCTCTATTACTTGATCTTCTAATAGTCTATTATTTTTTCAAGTGAATAATAAGTAAAATCGATCTAATTTTTCTTATTATTGTTATCTCAACAAAATTACTCGACACTGATTAGTCGATATTGGCAACTCGGCCAAAACAATATGAAAACATATATTTATTATTATTTTGTACTTAAAAACATATAAATAAWTTTTTTAAGCAGTAAGAACTAATCTTTATTATGCATTACAGTAACGCGATGGTCTGAAAATCGACCGCCAAATACACTAAGATAAACGGCGTTGCTTCGCATTTTTTACTGTAATTTTGTTCAGTGAAGATAAACAAAAAATCTCACGATCTTCTCGTACAATTTGTAATAAATACAAACTCGTAATGTCTTGAAAGTTTTTTAATTGCACTCGCCTAAAGGCTCGTACAATCACAACAACTTTCAAAACTTCCCTCGTGTTTATTTATTTCCTTTACAGTACACTCAACAAAATTACTCCAATCTGATTGGTGTAGAGCAGTATAATTGTAGCGCTAATTGTACTCCGTAGGAGTACCGAAGTAAGTCGCTATGGAAACACGTCCAAAACTTGGAATGTAAAATTATTTTCTATCATTTTGTTCTGAAAAAACATAAAAATTTTAAAAATCTTTCTTATGTATTTCGGTTGCGCGATGGGCCGCCAAATAGACAAAGATTTACGTCGCCGCTTCACATTTTTTACTGAAATTTTGTTGAGTGAACTATAAACAAAAAATCGTAAGATCTTCTCATACAATTTGGATTTAATAGACACTCGCAATGTTTAGAAAATTCTTTGATTGCACTCGCCTAAAGGCTCGTGCAATTACAAGAACTTTGAAAACATTACTCGTCTATTATTTTCTAAATTGTAGTCAAGATCGTGCGATTTTCTATACAAATTGTACTCGAGATCATAAATCAAATTTTAAAGCCGTAAGAACTAATCTTTATGCTATTAAGTTGCGCAATTGACTAAATATCGGCTGACAAATAGAAAAAGATGAACGGCGTCGCTCCGCAWTTTTTAMACTGAAATCACAAAAAAAATCACACGATGTTTTCGTAAAATTTGGAATTAAAACACAATTGTAATGTTTTGAAAGTTCT